AAAAAAAAAAAAAGTATCTTTAGTAAGTAGTCAAAAGATAAAAATGAACTTTCCATATCATAGAACATCAGAAAAATTGTTTTTTATTAGCTAATCTCTTCAATAGCTAATGCCTTGGCAATCAACCCAAAGGGGGTTGCCCGGGCTCTCAGAGAATTACAGGCCCCTGGGCCCATGTGAGCAGGTTTAAGAATGAGCGCGGCAGGTTCGACAGCCCCAGGGGACCAGGCTGGGGACAACAGGGGGAAACAGAGAAAGGGCCCTCACAGAGGCCCGGCACACCTCCGGGCGCCGACCAACCCTACAGCCCGCCCCCGCCCTTGCTGAACCTGGTCCGGCTGGAGGTCGGCTGCTCTGGCACCTTGGCACGTCCACCGAGACTCGGCCCCCACGGCCTCTGGCTCAACCCAGCCAGGCTCAGAAAAGGGATTGCTCGCCCTGCCTTTCAGGGGGACCAAGGAAGCAAAGAGCTGGGCGAGGATTGTATCCCCAAAACTCTGACAGAAGAGTGGAAAGAGGGCTGGCTCCATAACTAAGGGTCTGCACCCTGCCTGTGCCGTGCTGAGAGGGGCTGGCACGGCCCATGACACTGAGATGGATGGGTTTGGCACAAGCTGCATTCACGGCCAGGACTGACGCCTGACCCTAGAGACTAGGACGAGGACAGGGTGCAGACTCCGATCTGAGCGCAGGGCGCAGTCCATCGGCAGGGTGGACGATCGGGCTCTGCGATCCGTGACTCCCCTTCTACTTGGGCCCGGATTCACCTCTCACTACCTGCCCCTCACTGACACTCTGGCCTCCCCACTCAGGTCCCTCCCAAGTCCCTGAAGGCACCGTCTTAGTGGGTGGGCATCCCAGAGGGGTCAGGCCCCAGTTCTGGGACACCAAAGCTTTTCAGAATAGAGCCCGACAGGGGGGGTGGAATCGCCAAGGTAAAGCCACCACGATGCCCGCCTTCCTCATGCTCTCCCTCTTTGTGTCCCAAGGTGTCAGACCCTGGCCTGGTCCCGACACAACCAGGTCCCCCTGCACCTATTCACAGTGAACACACCTCCTGAAGACGAGGACTCGCACGCTGGCTCATCGCTCTGACTACGGGTGATGCTGACATGCGTGAGCTCGGCCCCGTGACGGCCCAACGCTGTCACCCTTGGCTGCCCAGTCAAGCCTCCCGACAGGATGCCGCCAGCCATGCCTCGGGTCCGGCAGTCAGATGGGAGTCCTGGCTCACTGCCTCCCTCCCACTCCCACCACGAGGGCCTGGGACACCTGGGATGTGTCTGAGGGCCCGGGTGAGTGCCAGGTCTGTAAATGCGGTGACCCAAGGCCCTGTTCTGTCCATCACCCCAAGCAGTGACAGTGGGGACCTGGAATTCTGGGGCCTTCCGTCTCATGGTCCCTGCCACCATCCCCTGTTGCAGGCAGCATCTTCCCGGGGACTGGCAGCCTCCTGTGAGGGAGCGCAGAGCCTCAGTCTAGGATGTGAAAAGTCCCCTCTTGCTGGACTCCTGGCCAGCAGCCCTTGACACTCACAGCCCCACAGGGCCCTGCCTGAGTCCTGGCAGGTGCCTGGCTCCCTACAGAAGAGCCTTGGGGCTGCAGGACAGTGACACTCAGACCCAGTGTTTGTTTCTGGCCTGCCCCTGGAGGCGCCCGGCCCTCGGCTCAGGTGCCAGAGCTGTCTCCAAGGAGCGAGTGTGCTTTTCTTCTCCTGTAAGTGGCGGCTGAAGCTGAGTGTACAGAATTCCTCAGCTGGTTCCAAAACCTCAAGCTTCGTTTGAGTTCACAAGCTGTCGGAGCCACACTCTAAGCAGCTACTGGAGCTGCCGTGGGGGAGGAGAGCTGGGCGAGGCGGGTCTGGAACAGGTGCCCTCGCACTCGGTCCGGGCCAGGGCGTTCCTGGTGAAGACTGAGCACCCAGAGCGTTCTTCCGGAGGAGCTGGCCAAGGCCAGGGAGCTGTTACCTGCACACGGGAGAATGCCCGGATCAGGGGGCCCCAGAGACAGGCAGACCAGGGTGGAAGGGCAGAGAAGCCGGTCCCCTGGCGTGAGGAAGGGCCGTGGCAATCCGGGCACTCTGCACATGCCTGGCCTTGCTGAGGGCCACCAAGCCAGCTCAGAACCGGGCCAGGGCCAGCCAGGGTAACAGCACTTGGCCCGTGTTCCCAACCCGCAACCCAGAGGCATCAGGAAGAGGAAGGGCTTTACCTGTGCCCGGGGCCGGGGCCGTTCAGATTCAAGGCGCACAGCTGCCGCTCCAGCTGTGAGATGCGGAGCGCCAGGTAGCACGAGGACGTGACCAAGCAGCAGATCCTGGGGGCGGAGGGCAGGAGGGGCTGGGTCTCCTAGAGACCGCACACCCTGGGAGGCTCCTCAGAACAGGAGAGGGTGAGCCACCGCCACGGCTGCGGCCCCACTGTGGGGCTCAGGGCCAGGCAGCTGTCTTCCCAGAGGCCATGGGGGCCCGGAGGCACACACTGTGTAGGACCTCCAGTCCAGCTGGGCTCTAGGCCCTGTCCCTCCACCTTCCCTCTGACCAGCCACTTCGGTCCTTCCTGTGCCTCCTCAGGGAGGGCCATCAGTGCCCCCGAGGGTGGCAAGCCCAGGCCCAGCAGGTGCGAGGTCCAGCCAGCAGGGCCGGGGAGGCTGACACGGGAACGCCAGGGAGCCAGGGGCTGGTCATCCCTGCACCTCCGGCCACGCCACCACCACTGGTGCTGAGAGGTGGACAGGGCAGGGCTGTTCTCCCTGGCGTCTCCCCCCCGCCCTCTGATGGCCCTCCTCCACCCTAATCCTGTGCAGCACCTTCTCCTTTCCCCAGCAGTCCCCTCCCCGCCACATGGCCTCCCCCCTAATTCGGCCTCCCCCCTAATTCGAGAGCCTTCCTTCTGCTGGGGGAGGGCATGCCGCGTGGCTCTCGGACACCGCTGGGAGCTAGAAGTGGGCTCGGAAGCACCCCAGCCTCTGGACAGGGACACCTCCTCATGGCCCTCGTCCCAAACACCCCGTCTCGGGGGGTTCCCCACACAGTCACCTACAGCACAAAGACGACCTTGAGCAGCAGGAAGTCCCAGAGCCTCGGCACCCCGTCGCCCGGGGCCTCCTCCTCCAGCTCGTCCTTGCAGACAGCGCCCTCCTCTGAAATGGGAGGCGGGTGGGCAGCTCGGCCGGCAGAGCCCTCCCCAGCACAGGCAGGCCCTCCCTCTGAAGGTGTCCGGGGCACTGACTTTTCCATTTGATTTGCAGAGAGGCGCGCCAGCTCTCAGGAGCCCCACTGGCGGCTGCGGGACCCAAGAAGGAGCCAGCCTCTGTGCGCTTGGACAAGCTCCCAGGACTCACCGGACCCTGGAGGCCTCCTGCAGGGGAAGAAGCTGTCTGTGGAGTCCCTGGATGGCCGAGGGACCTCAGGGATGTCGGCTGGGAGGGACAGGGACCTGGAGGGAGGGCACACTTTCCTCCACTTCATCTCGGGGATGAGGACGTCCTGCAGAGCAGACAGAAGCCGGCTCAGCGTGGCCTGGGGCTCTCGCCTGCCCTGAGGAGCCCACGCCAGGTCCTCGAAGCTTTCCCAGGTACTCCCAGGACAGCCTGGCTGGGGTCAGAAGCAGGCACGGAGGGCAGCGGCCAGGCACCATGCCTCTCCTGCCCCCTCCCTTGCCGTGAGGGCCACCCTGCAGGAAACAGAAACTCTTTGAAGACTGCCAGCGTGGGGCCACGGCGGAACCTCAGCTGGGAGCCACCCGGGTCCGTGCTCGGGCCTGAGGCCAGGAGAGGGTGGCCCGGCACAGCTATGGGATGGGCTGTAGCCATCCCCACTCAGGCAGCAACCGAGCTCGGCACCGACCTTGGCAGAGGGCCTTGGGGTCCCTATCAACAAAAACGGGAACATCACCTTCCGTTCCTGCACGGCTCGATGCGTACCGCGCTTGGCTGGCCACGGATCGCACCGAAGGCGGCTCCAAACGGGCAGGGCCACGCCACCATCATCCCTGCCCCAGAAACTGCCCTGGGGAAACCGCTGGGGCCACGGCCCACCTAAAATGTGCTTCTCGGGTCCTCTTGTGGTGCCTCCGGAGTCCCTCCCTAGGGACCTCTTTACCCCTAAGGCCCTCCTGACTCAACCAAAGGAAGTGGGGTCACCGGCCCGCGTCCACACAGGTTGGGACCCGTCCTGCGGCATGCCTTCCGGGCTGGACTTCTCAGAAAGGCAGCAGATCGGCAAGGACCTGCTGGCTCTGCATGGTAGGGGACTCCCTGGCCCTCATGGCTGCCGCCCCTGAAGGCGGGGGCCCCAGCTCGGTTCCGTGGGCCGCTCCTGGAGGCCCTGAAGCCATGGAGCCGCGGGCTCTCAGCTGCTGCCTGCACGCCCAGCCTTGTTCTCACCAGGGCCGTGCACTCCGGGCCGTCCGGGCGTTCTCGCACACTCAGGCTCTTCTTGCTGGAAGGCTGGGGGGCAACGGGGTAGTCTGTGCACTGGGCCAGGCGTGGGGAGCGCCAGCACGCCCCCACATGGCTTTTCCTGCACTCTGTCTGGGGAAGTCTAGCCCCCGAGCCTGCAGGGGCCCCGCTTAATGTTGGAGCAGGGCACCCTCCCTGCACGGTCTGAATCCTGCCCCTGGAGCACCGGCCTGAGCCTCACCCCTCCCCGCCCCATCCCTGCTGCATAGCCGGGCTGAGCCCCCCATCCTCATCCCAGCCCTGAGTCCCGGCCGAGCAGCCCCCAGTCCAACGCCTGCCCTGAGCACTGACCTGCAGGTGGGTACAGACCCTCCTCAGCATGTCATACACACTGTCCCGGGACAGCAGGGACACAAAGACATACTGCGGGGGAGGAAGAAAACCAGGGGTGGGCCAGGTGAGACCCCTCCCCAGGCCCCTCAGGAACCTCTCCTCCAGCATGGTCCACAAGTGGGGAGCTGGCGGGGAGCAGGCAAAGCCCGGCAGTGTGCCCGTCTGGGTGGCGCCGGGCTGGGGGAGGCTGACGGGGCACACTGACCTTCTGGCTGGTGTTGGTGGTGATGGCCAGTCCGTTGGGAAGCAGCCGGGCCATCTTGTGTTTTTTGATCATTTGCACAGACCCCACAGGAATAGCCACCTGAAGGAGAGGCGTGCTTCACCCCCAGGACAGGGCCCCGGCACTGCCCACATGGCCCAGCCACAGCGGGCAGGCGCGAAGCTCAGAGGAGCCGCCTCGGCAGGAACGACTCGTCCCCCTCTCGGCCAGGCCCCGGCACACACGGTTCCCGGCTCTCGCTGGGTAGGGCCTTGGTATCCAGGGGCCCGAGGACGGATGCTCTGGGGAAGCCCAGACTCTGGTGACGCGGGTCCCCGGGCCACCTCTCGGCCACGCCCTAACGGCGACATCCCATTCCTTTCTCTGAAGGCGTTCCTGGGACGCCCAGAGGCAGGGTACTCTGGCTGTGAGTCGTTCAGGCCAGCTCGGGCCACGCGAGGGGTCTGGGTCAGGGCCCCCTCCCTGGACACGATGGGTGCCCCGGAACAGCGCATCTGACAGGCGAGAGGCCTCCCTGGTGCCCGCACGCAGTGGCCAGGCCGGGCTCCCCACCTTGACGTCCTTGCCGAAGAGGCCGGCGTGGAAGCAGAGCCAGTTGGAGGAGATGTAGAGCCGGCCCTGCAGCAGGAGGTCCCTCTGGAGGGCACAGGAGCACACTGGAGGTCGCACAGGAGGCCCGTGAGCGAGGGCTTCCAGGGAGCCCCGGGGAGCCCCGGGGCCTCGCTGCTCCCTCCCCGCCCCAGGCCAGAATTCCACCCCGGCTAGGCGCTTCCTCTTCTTCCAGCTGCCCCGCAGGGTCTGGGTCTCCAAGCCTGGATTCTCACAGCCTCAGGCAGACGCCCCTGCCCTGCCCTGGTGAGAGGGCAAATGACCCCCACTCCAAGGGAGGCCTGGGCAGGGAGGACAGCCGCTGACACTGAGCACAAATACCGAAGAGCGGGAAGCCCTGGCACGTCCTCAGTGAAACCTTGCTAAGTTCAGCTCCGCCCCCCAAACACGGGGAGAGCGGGCCTGACCCCGGGCAGAGACGGCCAGTCTGCAGTCTGCTCAGCCCTGGAAGCAGCACAGAGGCCTGGGGGCAGCCGTCCCGCCGGAGAGGCTCACCTTTGAGGACGAGCTCCTCCGACGGGATGTCCCTGAACAGCCTGTGGTACTGCTGGTTGCGCTTACTACGCAGCGTCTGCAAGCACAGGGGCCACCGGAGGAGCCCTGGGAGGTCAGAGCCCAGGCACGCCGCCGCCCGGCCCGCCAGCTATGGGCTCTCAGGCTGGTCTCCTGGTGACGCTGGGCCCCAACACAGCCTGTGGCTGCAAAGGGACAAAGCACTCCCACCCAGGAGGGGCGTCCTTCTGGTCTCGTTTCCTAGTGACAGGCCTGGTGGCCCAGGAGCCAACAGCCACTGAGTTCAGGCGGCCTAGGGCCAGCCCCCGCACTCACCCCTTCTGGGCTGCATTTCTTTCCCTCTTCGCCCTTCAAGCCTTCTGGCCAGAGGAGGCTGCAAAGAGACATTCCATTCCAGGGGCAAGGAACCCTGAGGCCTGCCTGAGCCTCTGCAGGGCCAGCTCTGCCCTGGCTTCCCACTTCAGGGTTAGGCAAGTGCCAGCAGAGAGGGAGGGGCGGGCCTGAGAGCTTTCCCACCCAGGCAGGTGCCAGCAGAGCCCCCAGGACAACACGATGCTCAGCACCTGCCCACACCCTTAGGACCCTCTCCCGGTTCTCTGGCCGGGCTAAGCGGGCAGGCAGTGCAGGGATGGGACCCATGTGGGGAGTGGACTCACGGCTCCAGGGCCTGGCCGTGGGCCATGGTTCCTGCAGGACGGCTCTCTTCACAGCCTCCTCCCATGGCCTGGAGCTCTGTGCACTCACCTGGCCTGACGGAAGCCATGGGGCTGGGGCAGAGGAGGGGCGCTGGAATGCAAGCCTTTGCCCTGGCCAGGTTGGCCTGAGGACAGGTGGGCAGGGAGGAGGCGGGTAACCTGAGAAGCCTGCACTGGGCTGGGTCCACATGCACTGGGCAGGCCGGGGTGGGAGGGAGAGCGGGGCGGCTGTGCCCACCTAACAGGGGCCCTGCCTCAGCCCTCAGGAGCCCTTTCTCACGGCCAGACGCCGAAGACCGCCCGCCATGTGGCCGTGCCCGGGAAGGTCATTACCTGCTGTCCGGGGGTTCCTGCACCCTGCCAGGCTTCTCTGCGCAGGACACGGGGCTCTTCAGAGCAGCTGGCTTCCCTTGCATTTGCGGGTTGCTAGAGAGAAGCAGGCCCACTCAGGAGGGGGCTCCGTGGGGCATCTTTCCCCTCAGCCCCACCCAGCGCGGGGCAGCTGTCCCCACTCAAGACCGGCCTGAAATGCAGGCCAACGCGGGAGACGGCAGGGCTGGGCGCAGCTCAGGCGGGAGGAGCGGAGCCTCGGGCTCCTGTCCTGGAAGCCTCGGGCTCAGTCTGTGCCTGGGCAGCAGGGGCCGGACCTGCGCCTCGCTCAGGCCAGGCGGGGAGAGCCCTGCGGCCCCACCCTCCGGGAGGCAGGACTCTAGACCTGCGGATGGCCAAGAGCGCAAGCCCCAGAAAGGACACTGCGGCAGGAGCTTATCCGCCGGGAGCTGGTGGCTGATGTGGGGGTGGACCCCTTGTGGCACAGAGAAGGGCTGGACCAGAGCAGGGAGTGGCCTCGGGCACCTCTGGGCAGAGCGGAGGCCGCTCAGGCCATCTCAAAACCGTCCCAGAGAGAGGGCCAGGAAGGGAGGCGGCACGCCGTTCCTGGCAGGTGGGGCTCTGGCGGCCTCGGGACTCTGCCTGCACTAACCGCTCCAGGAATGGGGCTCCGCTCCTGCTCCCCTGCACTCAGTGCTGTGTTCTCCAGGCCTCTCGACCAGGACTCAAGCCCTGGTGGGCCGTGTGGGGTCCCGACCAGCACCTTAACCAAGGCACTGCAGGGCCAGCCCCCTATTTCGACAAGTGAATTTCTCTCTTCCAGGAGGTGGGGAGCCAGGAAGCCTGAGCTGTCAAACTAGCCCGACGGAGCGTGCCCGGGAGCAGGGCCATGGCAGGGCTGTGCAGCGGTCAGGAACAAGTACCGGGTTCTGGAGTGTGGCCCCTGAGCAGATGGGGAGCTGGAGCCAGGCACCCACAGACCCCTCAGCTTGGGGACGACTGGCTCTGTGAATGGGGCGGGTCATATTCTCACCCTCGAGGACAGGTACTGATGCGGCACAGGCCCTCCTGGACCCTCAGAGATGACAGTCCGACCTCTGACCATACCAAGGTAGTGTGGACAGGCCGCAAAGAGCCAGGGGCCACCCCGCAGGGTCAGCCCGGTGACAACTTCTTCCGGCCCAGTGAGGTTTCGGCACGCATTTACAGACGCCGGTGAGTGACAGACGGTGCTACTGACTTCCACTGTTAGCCACTGGGTGAATGAGTAAGTAAAGTTAAATAAGTAATTCTTAAAAAAAAAAAAAAAAAAAAAAGTAAAAGATCAAAGTCATTCATAAGAAAAAGTCCCCGTGTGGCCAGCAGGTGGCTCCCACAGGACTGACCCAGCCACTGGAAACTTGCGCGGGGTGCACGTGCCCAGCCTCGAGAGGAGAGTGGGGAAGGGGCTGCAACGTGGCCATCCCCCCAGGGGGTGTTTTTCACTTTTTCTCTTTCTCTGTCTCTCCAGCGAGTGTACACATCCTACAGTAAAATTCTAAGAAAAAAGAAATTCCCTCAAAGTCACCCCGATTAAAAACTGCTGGGTGCCCTCGCCGTGTATGGAAATGGTATCATTTACGTAAACCGCGTGTAAGGTGTGTGCCCCACTTTTCTTCCTTACTATGATGTCCCGAGAAACGGCCCACGTCACTGTCCATTTCGGGGACAGATGCGCAGAAGGCAGGATGACAATGAAGTCCCTCAGGCCGACAGTGGCGGTGGCGGATTGCCACCGGCACTCTACGAAAGACAGAGCCCGAGGACGGGCAGGAGTCGTCTTGCACGGGTTACATCATCTCGCCTCTGCACGGACTCGAAACCGAACACACCCTGAGATCCCAGTGTGACCGCCGGGAAAGGGGAGGAGACTGCGTCTGTGTGCCCCGACAGCCCCTACCCAGGGCGCGGGAGGCCCACCAGGAATGCTGAGCCTGGGACGCGGCTGCCCTCAGGGGCAGGACGTGAGGCCTGCAGGGCTGAGCCACGGAGGAAGGCCCGCGGGCCACGCAGGTGCCCACTGGCCCGGGGCTGGAGAGACGGTAGAGAAGTGGCAGGAGGCTGTTGGGGTGCTGGGTCCCTCTCTCCCTCACTCATGGAGGAGATAAATTAAAACAGTTCAAGACCGTGTGCAGAAGGCAGGATCCCTTATGCCCTGCGGGGTTTGAGTCCTGGCCCTGGTGGCTTGAAAAGCACACCAGGCCCACGCGCTCAGGATCCCGAGGGGACAGAAGACTGGGGATAAAAAGACTGCGGTGCGATCAGGCCGTGCTGGGGGGGTCTTCTCTCTCTCTCCCTCTCTCTCTCTCTCGTGCGCACATGTATAAGTGTTCTCTATCACAAGTAAAATAAAGTTAAAAAGAAGCCTATCAAAGTCTGGAAGACGGCGGAAGTCCTTCTGCCTGGGAGCCTGGGAGGGGCAGGAACGCTGGCGGCAGCAGCTCCCCGCTGGTCTAAAGCCCCCGGCC